CCGATCTCCCCAAAACCCCAAAACCCCAAACCACAAAAATCTGATATTTTTGAGCAAAAACATTAATAAAATCTTATTGCAATAAATATTATTAAACTTATCATCTGAAAATACAGAATAAATGGAAAAGAATCCTAGTTTTCGATCAGTTGCTCGCAGTGATGAAAGCAGCTCAATGTATAGGGATAAATCAAACACAGTGCTAACTCAGAAGAAGGACATTGAGAAGACTATTCAAGAGTCTTGAAAGAAAAAACTATTGCTTCTCAAGGATCTGAAATACAGATAATCCAAGTTTTACATTGAGAGTCAATTTACCCTACTCAACTCTACCACTAATAACGAAACTTCAAACAGTCCAGACAAGCGAAGATCCATGCCAGATGAGTCTAGAAGTAGCATACTTGAAGAAAATTTTGCTTCATAGTCTGGAGGGTGTTGCCTTTGGAATATATTTTAAAGAGGTCCCCGATAATCAATGAAAGGCAAATCAACTATTGAAAGATTAAACAGTAATTAAAGTGTGCGGAAAGCTTAAAAGCAGAAAGTACTGCCTATTTCTGTGACTATCACTCGCCAATAAGATAAATAAGATGTAAGTCAATTTTTATTTCTTACAGAATTTTCTGATATGTAATTAATAGGTATGGAGTGTGTATCTTTTAAATAATCTAAAAAATCTTGAAGGCTTGGTCTGGGCCGACAGTTTAATGAATTACATGACAATTAATGAAAATGAGTTTCTAGACACTAAATATAGGTAAGTGTGCTTGCTCTTGATTTGAACTTTCTTATAGGTCAAATATTTACTTCCTAAACTACACCAAATCGTAAATGGTTTAAACCTCAGTGTAATAAAGGCAAGTTATGATGTAAAGAAAGCTTACAGAAACTTTCACTCGAGAGCAATTAGACAGTCTTAAGCAATCCTTTTAAAAGCATATGGGTATTGCAAACCAAAGTGATCAAACTCTTATTTCTAATTAAACAACACTTAGAGACCAAAATTAAAGTCAGAATGATATTGAATATGGCAATATTGCAGCTTCTAAAAAAGGATTGGCTAGACAAAGTCTAGAGACAAACACTAGGGGGCATAGGAGACTTATTAGTAGTGACACAGTACCAGATCTTTATGAGAATGGTCTTGCTGATTTATAGACCTTGAAAAATGATGAGAACAAGCACAGATTTATTTACGACATAGAAGACCCGAACAATCAATCTGATACTATAGAATAAATGGATAAGCAAACTAAGTTGCTGTTTGAAGTGCTTAGATCTTAGCTATTTGATAACAAACATCCATTGAATATCATTATCAGAAGATTTAGCTTTTACTTTGTCAAGCATTACTCCCAGTAAATAGTTTATGATGAGAAATCCAATGACTATTATATCTTGAAATCTCTACCAACTGGTAAATATGACTTGCAATTCGTTAATGAGCACCAAAGAGCTCATATAGCTTAAAATTATATGGACCAGCCAGATGATTAAAACATTTACTTTGAGGATATGCAAAATGAAGGGGAAAAGATTAATCGAGAATAAGCTGACTATCTAGAATTCAACTAATTCTAGAGAGCTGATCATACAATAAACAGTTCAATGAGACAGTCTTTTAAGAGAGGATCGTTTGCAAAGTAGATGAACCAATTTAAAAAAGAAAAGGAGGTCAAATACAAGACAGCTTAGGGAGCTCTAGCTGAAGTCAAGTAGTTTCTATCCCTAATGTATGGCATCTGCATCAGGTTTTATGTGACTGTAATTAAACTTGATATCCTTGAGAAAATGAAAGAAGACTTAGTAGAGACACTCACAAGAATACTTTTCTGTGAGTAAATGACTAATTTGATGATAGCTGTATGCAGAGTAACTACCAAGGATGAAGAAAGCTCCCTAAAATATAAAATCAACGAATTATAGCGAGTGAAAACCTCTCATCTTGGTCTAAGCTAATTTCACTGTCTAGATAAGCATAGTAAAATAATGGAGGTGTACTTGAAATAGTACAACGAGCTCTGCATCTCTTTAAACAAACCGGTTATTGGCCCAGATGGTGATGTAGGAGGAAGCTCTAATTCGAATGATGAGAAGGAATTCGATTTTGAAGAATTAAAAGATGAAAGCATGATTTAATCAATGCCTTCTGTATCTGCTAGCAAGCAACATAGCACATTCAGAGACAACTTTATGTCAACAGTAGATAATCCGATCATGGAAGAAAATGAGGACTCTGATGAGGATGACTATCAAATTAAGGATCTAGATGAAGAAGAGCTATAAAAGCATAGAGAAAGAATTGCAACAGTAAGAATTCATCCTAAAAAGGATTCGAGAGTCTCAGTGATATCCAGACCGAGTGGTGCAGGCGAACCATTAATTTAGATTGAACCTGATATGTTTGAATAAAGTAGTGAAGATGAAGAGGAAGAGTTAATAGGTGATCTGGGTAGATTCTCATTTTAAGAGAGAAAAACTATCAAGTTGGACAGGATGGTCAGACTCAAAGAAGAAATCGACATGAGATTGAAGCAAAAACCATATATTAACGCTGTATAACAGATAAAAATGATACCGGAGTATTATACACCTATCGACAAATTAAGATGCCTAGCTACTGTTTCGCATTCTATTATAGAATCAATAAATAAATTCTGGAAAGGCCTAGATGTTGAGAAGGATAAGCTGACAGTTAATGGTGACTCAATCCTTATGATATACATCTTTATAACTGTCAAAGCTAGAACCAATGTTTAGGATTTATTTGCTCATGTGAAATATATGGGCGAGTTTTCAACGCCCTTTGTGAGAAATACTAAACTCGGCTATTGCTTGACAACTCTTGAAATAGCATTAAATCATATACTAAACCTTACTAAAGATGATTTTGAAACTAAGGATGATTGTGATATGTTTAGTGAAAGCAGCAGTATTTGGAGTGAAAAGAGACGAACTTTAACAAGAAGTCTTAGAGAATCTTTAAGCGCTTCGGTCAGATCGAATTCCTTAGTCATCAAGGATGACCCGTTAGGAGATTACTTTAAATTTGAGGAGTTGCACAGGCCATAGTGAAACAGTTGCAAAAATAGATAAGTATGGAATAATCCTTTAACTTAATCTATTATTGATTTTACACTCCTCAAACCTTTAAGAATTTCTATAATTATATATTCTGAATTTCATTATAAAAATTATCATATTCTTTAATCTCATCCTGATTATTAAGCAAGGGGTTTTGGGGTTTTGGGG